AACAATTTTCACACATGAAACGTCCCACAAGACCGCATTGCTTGCAAAAATATGTTGCAATTTGAGGATTACCATAACAAATAGCACACAAATCTTGAACAGTTTTATCACGATCCCCTGTAAATTTAGACGCTGCGGATGATACAAAATCCTCCCTTCTGCTAGCAACGCTCAAGGACTCGTTAGTACTTTCCGTCCCTCTTACACTTAATTCCGATACCGATTTTAAATCGTCGTATTCACGAGGCATTCTGACTGAACACGAAGTTCCCATTGTCTTTCATGGATTTCGCATACATTTATCGGATAAAGAGGTTACTTCCAACTCTGACAGTTTAAAGTTTCTTTAAGTATCACTTCCTGAAAATTAGGTTTTTATCTTGATAAATGTTTTCAGTATATCATATGACATGTTTATAATCTATTATTCATAAAACATCTATAAAGTATGGTGGCTGATTTGTGCCATTGGTGTTTTTTCCCCGCGCCCCGGCCATTTCAATTTGTTAATTCTCGACTTTTCGCTTTGCGGGGTCGCGGGACTAAAACACGCTAATTAACGGGGGCGCGGGGCGAGGTTTTATTTCATTAAACTTCGCCCCGCGCCCCCGCCGTTTTATTTCTTAATTCTCGCTCCGCGCACTCGCGGGGCGAAGTTTTATTTGTTAAACTTCACTGCGCGCCCCCGGTAATAAGCGTGTTTTCGCTCCGCGACCCAGCCATTTAAACAAGTTAATTCTCGACTTTTCGCTTGGCGGGGTCGCGGGACGAAAGCACGCTAATTAGCGGGGGCGCGGGGCGAAGTTCTATTTTATTAAACTTCGCCCCGCGCCCCCGCCGTTTTATTTCTTAATTCTCGCTCCGCGCCCTCGCGGGGCAAAGTTTTATTTATTAAACTTCGTCGCGCGCCCCCGCTAATTAGCGTGTTTTCGCTCCGCGACCCCGCCATTTTAACTTGTAAATTCTCTTCTTTTCGCTTGGCGGGGTCGCGGGACGAAAACGCAAATGGCACAAATCAGCCACCATAATAAAGAGATAAAAATAAGATTTAAGATATTACTGTTTAGCCCTTTTCGTGTTGATCAAACACGTTGTCAAACGATGCGTTTTTTTAAATAAATTATCAGTTGTGCATTGACAAGTTAAACAAACTTATAAAACATTGGGTAACCATTTATGAAAATATACGATACTTAAAATGTCAATGGCTTACAAATAAAGCACACGCCGCCGCCGAGATAAATCAAACGTGAATGACCCATTAACTGCAGAACAGAATGTACGCTATTGAGTAATATTAGAAAATGGTAAATGACAACATTAGTGTTACAAAATTATACCTATATCAATATTTAATGTGAAATGCAAGTCTTTAGTAGTTTTTAATATTTTTAAGTATACTGCGAGAAATTTTTTAACTTTTATGTAGCCCTTTTGTTTTAGTTATTTGAAAAAAAAAACTAATCTCTCAACAGACTATATTATACACTTTTATGAACTGCAAAATGAACCACTTCAATACAATCTAGAGGACTCGATGAAATAAGTTTGTTATGATAGAAGCGTATTTTTCATAAACCTGGTAGAATTACGTAACTTTTCTTTTTAGTGCATTTGTTGTCGTAAAACGATTAGATCGAAGGAAGGAATGCAATATTTTTCAACGTTTAAAGACCAACCTGCAAAGAAAAATAAGAAAATAAAAAAGCACAAGCACGAGAAAAATAAAAGCACAACTGATACATAGCATTTCAAAACAACGATGACAAAATTATAAGAAATGATATTGTTCTTGCATAATTGTGTATACGGACATGAAACAACTGTTTTGTCTCGATTCGATTGTGTTTTACGGCATTAAAATGACATTTATTGATTTTAATCGAAATGAATTTTAAATATTAATTCTTAAAAATGTTATTTAAAAATGAATGTAAACTACCATCATGACCATTATAATTGCAAAACATTGAAACCAAACGAACAAATTATTTCAGTAATGTTGAAAATACATGTAAGAAAATATCCTAGACCTACACCGTCTCGATCTTACTACACGTAGGGAACTTAGAAAATATAAACTCGTAGATTACTATATTGAGCTATATCGGTCAGTACAATTACTTCATAGATACAAATTAATTAAAATCATATCTTACTACGAAACTTACCAAAAATCTATCGAAGATAAATATATTGTATAACAATGTTTGAAGACTGGTTTAATGATTTAAGACTGTAAATAAGTTTCATTAACTCGAATTTGATACGCAAAAATGGATGCCACAAGCAATCATCGACAAACAGATGACCTTTCCAATAAACATGCCCATGGTCTGAAAATATCCGCAGATTGTGTTGCATTGTAATTATGATGAAACTTCTTAAATTTGCAGAAGGTGGTGTTAAAAACCTTAAAAGCTATAAATTATCGAGTGATACTTGTATTAAGTCCCGTACCGGTTTAACCGGAGGGGATTTTATGTTTACCCTTCGTCGGTCTGTCCGGGCAAACATCCAATGGTCAATGAGCTTCATTCCGTCCATAATTTTAGTTTAAAAAGAAGGAAATTCCATAAACCGACTGGTTTATATGGTAATTTTACTGGTGTATGTGGAACAATCAAAGAAAAATACATTAAAAAGCTACTTAAAATAGGGAAAAGTTGAAACATTAGTAATACATATTCATCCTGACATTGGATCTTTTGATTATCTGTTGTAAAAAGCAATAATCCTTACTAGACAGGGAAACTAAACACATTACTATGATACAGACAAACTAAGAATAAAAGATTTAAGTTCATTCAAGTTATTTATTCATTCAATGGTATAATCGAATGGCCAATGGCCTTCAGAATGTTGGTGGGGTTCCAACCTGTAGGGGACTTATTCATTGCTTGTAATACTATGATAATTGCTTGTTATATTCAAGTTTCGTTTCATCAGATTAAAATATTTATCTAGAACTTGATAAACAAGATTAAGATAATTTCTTAGAGGAAGAAGTGTCACATATCCAAAATGTTATTTTCACGACGTTTCCTTTGATAATTTGTAATATTATTTAATAATAAACTTATCGCTCAGTATGATTTAAACGTTGCGTGCTTGTGGTAATTGTTAGATCTTTCCATTCGACTGTTTCATAGTTGGTTGGTTCAAGTATTCCTCACTGGAATACTGTTACATCACCCTTAAGATATGTGGTCTGCTTTTTAAACTATTTTTGGACACCTTATTTGTGAAATGCAGGCTTCATAACCTCTGATCCTTTGTCAAAATTTTATTATATTTAGTTCCGCCCATTGTTTTCTCGTTTATGGCTCACGCATTCTTTTACGCACGAATCATACGTTGCTCTTTATGGAATGGCAGAAAAGTTTTACATTTAAGGTTCTATGATAACCGCCGTATAAACACATCTGTGGATATTTCTAAATTCAAAATTTCACCATTACTATGATTAAATCTAGAGTTAAAACAAAATGTATCGTTTCGTATTTTTGAAAGAGGAGAACCGTAAACAGTTATAAAAACATAAAAGTCTTTCATATGAGTTGAATGAAAGCGTAACATTTTTCATGCCCCCTCTAGCATCGGTTTTATACAACATACAACTGTCTGTGAAATTCCTTGCTACACAAGAGAGAAAAATGCCTGTAAATAAAATGTCTTATCTTCATTTTACTTTGGAAATAGAATATCAAATACCTTGACGTCTCCTTATTCCTCACATTTATCTCTCACTATCTCATACTACGCAACAAATTCTAAATTGATTTCGGATTCATTTGTTGTTATTTTTTAATCAAATATTTTTTAATGATTCGGCAGACATGAATTGCGTTTTTAAAATAGAGAAATTAAGAATCCCATCAGAAATTCCTAAACGGCAAGATTGAAATGTTGCAGGCTCGGTTTGATTGAGCCTATTCATGGACGGTACTGACAAGTTACCGTCCATGCCCCCTTGCTCAAACAGAAAAAAAACAAGAACAAAGATCAACAAGGCAAAGGAAACGTTCGCAGGACGAGGCCCCCGACACACTAAAAACAAACCTAGAGCGGACATAAGGGTGAAAAGAGTGGGACATGTAATGTGAAATAATATCAACTAAAATTGGCGCATAAGGGATAAGGTCTGTAAGGATGAGAATTCAACATTTAAACACGAAAAGGGTGAATTTTGAATTTAGAAACAATCGCAGATGTTTTTATACGGCGGTTATAACACTTTCGAGCCATTTCATGAAAAGCGGCGTATGGACACCGAGAAAAAAAGAAAACAATGGCGGAACTAAATATTATTGAAAAGAGAGGTTATGGAGCCTGCATATCACAGATAAGCTTTCAACAGACAAGCCACATATCCTAAGGGTGAATAAACATGATTTAAGTGAAAAATACTCGAACCATCAAACAAGAAAATAGTAGATTAGAAAGAATTAAAATTACCACAAGCACACAACAATAAAGTCGCACTGAACGATCTTTAAGGATCGGAAAATATCATTCCTTATTGAATGTACGTAGCGACATTTTACATCCTCCATACGGCACAAACAACGCTGATGTAGCTTTTAAATAGAGAGAAATAAAGAATCCCTAAATATTGAACAAAACGACACAATTTTAAATGTTTCAGGCTTAGTTTGATCGAGCTTGTTCATGGACGGTAATGGAAAGTGCAATTTACCGTCCACGCCCCCCCCCCCCCCCAGCAAGGGCCTAAACAGTATTCAACATTTAACTAGGAAGATACTGCACTAAATACAACATTTACATTTCACAGAATGTACCGAGCACCAGAAAGAGAATATAATAAGTAATCAAAATATTGGTGAAACTAAATATTCATTGGTATATTTCATTCTATCTCAATCCTTATTATATGAAAGATAAAAATATCCATTCATTTATAATTGAATATATATGATACCTATCAGACCAAGCTAGTAAATAGAAGTTTATGGTGACATAAAGTTTTTATGTCTTTGTGCATTCATTCTATATTGTTTTACGGAATGTAGTACGACTTAAGGAACAGACTTTTTAAGGAATTCTTTTTAGCCAATCAACAAACCAGGTTTTATCACGTTGGTCTGATTAACCAATCAAAATTAACAAGCCATTAATCTTTGTTTACTTTGCGTGCGTGAAACGCTCGCTAAAATTTGTCTCATAATTTTGGAAAATACAGAAGTTTTGGATAGATTCAAGGTTATCCATTTACGTCTTTTGTTACTCATTAACTTTCCTGACATTCAGGACTAAATATTATCGGGCGGCGACCCCGTTTTATAACTTTAAAATGGGCGCAAAGGTGGCAGTCACTAGCAGTGTGAATTAATTTTAGTTGGATTATGTAATTCTCGTGAATGAGACTTCGAACGTGACTTCCGACGAGATCCAACATGGCGGCACCCAGCTCGCAGAAGATACAAATTTTCGGTCACTCTTTCGTACGGCGTTTGAAACGATTTATTGTGGACTCAAAATCACACAACTTTCATCTTCATTTAGATGGGTGTCCCCTGATACAGTATTCCGGTTTCCCAGGTGCAACGGTGCGGTCATTACGGGATCATTTAGATGAAGTTGTTGATTTTCAGCCAAATATATTAGTTCTTGTTATCGGAACCAACGATATTTTTAACTCTAAGGAATCTCCAGAAAGTGTTACAACACACATTTGTGATTTAGTGGACACGTTACTTTTCGTTATTGGAGTTGAAAAAGTCATAGTGTTTCAGACTTTACATAGGTTAGATTCAATGGGACAATCTCGTTATCAAGTCGATTCAGCATGGTTCAATGAAAGAGTGGACAATCTCAATATGCTACTAACAGACAGGTTGAACAGTACAGACCATAGAAGATGTTATTTATGGAAGCTAAAGGGTTTCTGGTCTACAGAATGTAAAGCGAGAAACTTTGCTGCAGATGGTTGCCACCTATCCCATACAGGTCAACTGCGTTTTATAGGCAATATACGAGCAGCTATTGTCGCCGCCTGGAAGAAGTCCATTTGTTAAGATGCGTACACATTTCATATCATATAAGAGTTTATTTTATCTGCCAGCTTATATATAAAAATTCTTATTCGCATATCAATTATTGTAAGAGAATTTTTAAAACCTTCAAAGAGATTTTAAAGAACTTTTCTTGACAGCCTATACCACATGGCTGAGATTTCAAAATATATCCACATTGAACAATATTTCTGGCATAATTTGGTTATCATGGTTTGATTTATATTTCGTTGATCTATCCTAAGCCTGATGATACCTTGCTATAATTTCATACAAATAGTATGACATAGATTTTTGTATAGTTTTTATCAATACATTTGGCTTTTCTTTTTACTTCACATATTGCTAGTCGCAGTATTTTTATTACAGTTGCATGGCTTAGTTGACACGCCTTGCATTGTTGTCCAATTTTTAGTGCAGTCACTTGGCATTGCTTAGTTTACACGCTCTGCCTTTTATGTGATTTCACATACATTATACCGAGTGCAGGGCTTAGTTAAAACGCTCTGTTGCTCGCTTGGCATTGCTTAGTTTACACGCTCTGCCTTTTATGTGATTTCACTTACATTATACGGGTGCAGGGCTTAGTTAAAACGCTCTGTTGCTCACTTGGCATTGCTTAGTTTACACGCTCTGCCTTTTATGTGATTTCACTTACATTATACGGGTGCAGGGCTTAGTTAAAACGCTCTGTTGCTCACTTGGCATTGCTTAGTTTACACGCTCTGCCCTTTATATTTTTTCACAGACATTTTATTGGGTGCAGGGCTTAGTTAAAACGCTCTGCTGCTCTCCCGTCTGTATTTATATAGGCATGGCTTATTTAAGGCCCCTTGCCTTGTGATTGTCCGTTCTTGGATAGTGTAGGCTTGGCTTAGTTTACACGTTATACCATTTTCTTACTTACATTCATTTATCAGCACTGCTTTCTGCTAAATACTTTTCTACTTGTTTCTTGGTAATCATATTTATAAATTCAGATCACTTTACAAGTGCTCTTCATTATGTACGGCAATCATCTTATTTTAATATAATACTTTGCCTTCAATATTTAGCACGGGCCAGCAGTCAAGCTTTTCTCAGATTTAAGGGCGTTAATATTTTCAGTTAATATCAGTTTTTTATGATTATTTGGTTTTTTGCAGATGAAGCCTGGAAAAAGAAAGGCAACAAAAGCCACTTGTTCATGCTGCCCGCCGCCTCCAGCAAAAAACAGTACAAACAAGTCAAAAACTAGAGTTAAGAACAATGTTAGTTCTACAATAACCAATATAAATCAAGTGCCATCCACATCTGCCAGGCAACAATCACACACCATTAACTTAGATCAGGCCGGGCTTGATGACAATATTTCAGCTGCTGACAATATTCAAGCTGCTATAGATAACAGAGACGATCCCACGGGACAACAGCAAGTACAAAATGCGGAAGAAGTTATGCCACCTCTACTAAGTCCGCCTCATATCGACGATGACACTTCATCGGACGAGGAATCCATAGGGGATGATTTTCTAGATGTTGTTAATAATCATACTCATTCTATGTTGTCAGGTAATGGCACGCAATTCATTGAACCTATTAACTCGCCTATTATTAACCAGGTAAAAAATTCCATTCGCAAGGCTATCTGGAAAAATAAATTCATCGATATGGCAGGCTTACTACCCAATACCTCTTTTTCTCATACACAGGCTCAGCAGTTTACCCTGCAAATGGACCAACATTCCAACATTTCGGTCCAGCCTGTAGTTCGCCCAAGGCGAATTACATCCATTGAATCATGGACGTCCGCTTTTATACGATTTGTAGCAGTCTATACGGCCAAATTCCCTCATGAGTCGCCTGCATTAATGAAGTATCTGGAAGTAGTTAGAGACATTGCCACTCGCCATCCTGGTCAAGGTTTCTTATTGTATGACGCACAATTCAGAATGCTGCGTCAGTCTGTTCCCCTCCCATGGGACCATATCCATACTGAATACTGGTTGATGGCGTGTACATCAGTCCAGCAACCAACAGCTCATTCCTTTCGTTCCCCCCGCCAGTTTAACAGACAATTCACAAAGCCAAGACTCAACCCTTTCGTGGAAAACACATGCTGGAACTATAACAAGAGAACACAGTGCCATAACTCAAAATGCACTTTCCCACACATCTGCGGTTTCTGCAGGGGACAACATACAGCATTTAACTGTCGGTTCACTAGTAAAGAGCAGGCAGCAAAAGCCTTTGCATCTAAACCTTCCTCCAATACCAAGAGCAATAAACCCCTCCCCCCTAGTGGTCACCCCAATTAAAGTCAAGATCCTTTCCTCCTTCATTAAGAACTATCAATATAACGATTATCTGGTTCAAGGTTTTTCGTCAGGTTTTAAAATAGGTTACCTTGGCCCTCGTACAGCTTCCACTTCTTCCAATCTCAAGTCATGTATTGAAAACCCTGACTTAGTATTACAAAAACTACAAGTGGAGTTACATGCCAAACGCATCAAGGGTCCATTCCCTTACCCACCATTTCCTAATATGCGTATAAGTCCCATTGGTTTAGTCCCTAAAAAATCACCAGGCCAATATAGGTTAATTCACCATCTCAGTTACCCAAAAGGTAGCTCAGTCAATGACTTTATTGACCAAGATCTAGCAACTGTCACCTATAGCTCATTTGACGATGCAGTAAACAAACTTTTGATCTTAGGTCCAGGGACATATTTCAGTAAAACAGACATAGATTCTGCTTTTCGCCTTATCCCTATTCATCCCAATGATCACCACCTCTTAGGTTTCAAATTTGATGATAAATTTTATTTTGATACATGCCTCCCAATGGGTGCTTCATCTTCTTGTGCCATATTTGAACGTTTTAGCACTGCTCTCCAATTTGTTGCGCAGACACAGCTCGGTATCAAACACATAATTCATATACTAGACGATTTCCTGATCATGGGGCCCCCAAACTCACAAATCTGCCAGTCAAACTTAAATACATTTCTGGATTTTTGTTCGGAGGTAGGAGTTCCCATTAAAGTTGAAAAAACTGAGAATGCCACTAACATCATCACTTTTATGGGTCTAGAGTTAGATTCCATCCTGATGGAAGCTCGCCTCCCTCAAGATAAGCTCGTAAACTTAAGAACACTCTTACGCTCAGCTAGTAAATCAAGAAAAATTACATTACGAGATTTGCAATCACTTATAGGTCTGTTGAATTTCTGTTGTCAAGTAGTGCCACCAGGCCGTTGTTTTTTGCGTCGCTTGACTGATCTTACAAAAAAGGTTAACAAACCCCATCACAGAATAACTCTAACTAGAGAAGGCAGAAAAGATATTCAGGCATGGATGTTATTCGCTGATCATTTTAATGGTAGACAACTCCTGCTTGAGAAACGGTGGTTGACCACGGATGCCTTGCACTTACATACCGACGCCTCCGGGTCATTAGGTTTTGGGGCCATTTTTGAATGTAAGTGGTTTTATGGTCGCTGGCCCTCCTCTTGGCAGGCTCAACATATTACCTTCAAAGAATTAGTTCCCTTAGTTTTGGCTGTTGAAATTTGGGGTCCCTTTCTCCAAAATCATTGTATTGTTCTTCACACAGATAATGAAGCCGTAGTCTATATCATAAACAAGCAAACATGCAAAATCTCTGATATTATGGCTTTGGTGCGAAGGTTAATACTAGCCACCATGAAATTCAATATTCTCATACGAGCTGAACATGTACCAGGTAAATATAACATTTTACCGGACCTTCTTTCTCGTTTACAGATCACCAGATTCCGGTCATTAGCTCCTCACATGGACATACAACCAACAACAGTACCTTCAGACCTTCTCGTGCTTCATTAAATAAATCAGTTTATCAGTTGCTAGACACGGCACTGGCGCCTTCTACAAAAGCAAGCTACAAAAATGCTTTACAGCGCTACAGAATTTTTCATAATACTTATTACCCAAATGCTCATTTATTCCCAGTCTCAACGGAACAACTGGCCCAGTTTATCACTGTTTGCCAACATCGGGGTCTAAAACATTCTACAATAACCTCATACATGTCAGCAATAGGTTACGTACATAAGTTACATGGCATGGTCAACCCTTTAGATTCTTTTCTTGTGAAAAAGCTCTTACATAGCTTGAGACGTCATTCTCAAACTGATAAACGTCGTCCTTTTACTATACAGCAAATGCATTCCATTTTGAAAGTTCTTAAACGTCTGGTCTGCGACCGGTACACATATATATTAATGAGATCCATGTTTTTAGTGGCTTTCTATGGCCTTTTTCGAGTGGGTGAAATAGCCTATTCTACAAAAGGTTCATATAACATAGTGCTACGGGAGAATTTATCTTTCGTATATAACCAATCCCAGGTGCATACACTACATATTACATTGAAAAGTTACAAACATTCGGCTGGTAAAACGGCTAGTGTCCCTGTTTCAAGGCAAAATGATAGTAGGCTTTGTCCAGTCAGAGCCATGTTAAATTACTTAAGAAAAACATCTCACACTTCAGGTTTTCTTTTCATTCACCAGTCTGGGTCACCAGTTACGACTTCCTTCTTCCGCTCTATTCTAAAGTCTTGTGTTACCGCTTGTAATCTCGACCCTTCACGATACACATCTCATTCATTTCGTATTGGTGGGGCAACTCTTGCTCTTGACAACAATATGTCAATTCTAAATATTCAAAGACTTGGCAGATGGAGATCATCAGCTTACAAAAAGTACTTACGCCCTGCAACTGTACCTTTATATCAAGACCCTTAAAGAGATTGTTTATGATCTGTCGGTTTTTAGGCAGCAGATCTAGCTTGTATACTCGAGTAAAAAATCCGACTGTTTAAGGCGGCGGGTTTTTTAGCATTAATCATTACATTTCATTGACCCACTATATTACTTTGGGAAGTCCGTATAGAATTAGTTCACATAAGTCTGACAGTTAAAGGCTGCAGATTTCTTAATAACTAATTTTGTCGATCTCTTCGGTGTGCCATTGCCTGCAATGTTACATGTTGCTATATATATGTTTATAAAATTATTTTAATGCCGACGGTTTAAGGCCGCGGTCATGTGTTGTCAATTTTATGTAGATATCATTACCTTAGCCTAGTCCATCTTTTTAAGATACATGTATTTGTCTGACGGTTTAAGGCCGCAGATCTTTTATTAGGTGATTTACACAGTGTCATATTACTATGTTGTTAACTCTATATTCTAGTCTTGCAAATGTTTACATATGTTAGACTGTCTAACATAGACTTTCTCAGTCTAGTCTTATGTATAATTTTTTGATACAATATTTACAAATTTATTGCTATTTTGATGCATACTATACCTTATCAGTTGTGTTCAGTTCAGTCATGTTATGTATAATTTTTTGGATACAACATTTACAAATTTTATTTTATTTTCATGCATAATATACCTCATCAGTTGTGTTCAGTTCAGTTCAGTCATTGTTTGTGTGTTAGGCTTTGTATATATGGTTGCCTTAATGTAATATAATGTACAACTAGGTTTTTTGTCATAAGTCCATCTTAGACAAGTCACAGTAGGTCGTTCTGGGTGGGGTTTGTGGCGGTTTTTTCCACCCAGTTATGTTTTTGTGAAAACGTTTTTTAGTTGCTATATATTTTATGGCATTTAATAAATGCCCTATTTTCATTCAAATACTAGAGTTGTGTTTTCACTTCATCCATACAAGTGTGACCTTTTGTGACTTTCTCTAAATGGACAAAACATAAATAGAAGTTTATGGTGACATAAAGTTTTTATGTCTTTGTGCATTCATTCTATATTGTTTTACGGAATTTAGTACGACTTAAGGAACAGACTTTTTTAGGAATTCTTTTTAGCCAATTAACAAACCAGGTTTTATCACGTTGGTCTGATTAACCAATCAAAATTAACAAGCCATTAGTCTTTGTTTACTTTGCGTGCGTGAAACGCTCGCTAAAATTTGTCTCATAATTTTGGAAAACCACCTCCTCCCATCGCCTCCTCCTCTAAACTTTGTCATGTTTATTTTCAATTTATTGTTTTCACCTTTGTTACATTCGCATTGTTCAACGTTTTATATTACTGAATTATTTCGCCTTTGTTTCAAACATATGTTACAGTATTATATGTTAACAATGAACATTATATGTTACAGTATTATATGTTAAGGCGGTTTTTTCCACCCAGTTATGTTTTTGTGAAAACGTTTTTTAGTTGCTATATATTTTATGGCATTTAATAAATGCCCTATTTTCATTCAAATACTAGAGTTGTGTTTTCACTTCATCCATACAAGTGTGACCTTTTGTGATTTTCTCTAAATGGACAAAACATAAATGAAGCATATAGTGGTATTTCCTGTACTTAAATTAGGCCAAGGACCAGGTAAAACATCAGATTTTATTCTAGATTGATTGAATAAGATCTGACTGGGAAAAACAAATCATTGATAAGTGCTTTCTTTAATTCTGGACCCAAACAACACAATTCTTATATTACACGATGATTTATGGTAACAACAATGAATGCTGTTAATTTAATACTTTTATGATCACAGGTTAGAACTGTTGCACGATAATGAAATATGTCTTATAATTTGTTATGTTTTCTTCTGATAACACAAACGTGGTTCGTGAAAAATGACAGCGATATTATGGTGTTTACAGTTTAATATTTATTTTCGTATTATGTTTAAAGTTCGTATTATGTAACATTCTATTGAAAGCATTTCATTTTTGACAACGCTTAATGATGGAGAAAAATATGATGCAACTTAGTTTCACTTTTCATATTACAAATAGAGAAATCTGACTTGATTGATATGTTGGACTTATGTTTATTTTCCTGAACATTAAAAGCTATGATCTACAAATATCGGAATATTTTTCACTAGTTTGAATGTTATTGCTCAAGGATGCAATACAAGTATTTTCGAGATATTTAACAATTGATAACATTGGTATACTTATTTAAAATTTGACATTTGACTATATCAATAAGCATTTTCTTTTCATATGTGAACTTAACCTTGAAGCTATAATTATTCTTTTTCTAGCTTTGTGAGCGGCTTAAGTCATATAAGTGTTTATGCTGCATTTCTATTCCTTTTACTAAGTTCATATCCCAGTTAGAGTTATACAAGGTTTTTACGAAATACCACCAACCATTTATTTTGACAAAAGTGACCTGAGGGAAAACAGCTGCGATATAAGAATCAAGATTGAAATATTCTTGATAAGATGTTACGCTTTCAAAAAGGCAACCTTAAAGCCAAAAGAAACCCCTTAGGAAAAAATTTTTTTTAAATTCCTAAGTAACATCCCCCCAAGAACAATTTCCCATGTGAAAAATTCAAAAATCAAAAAAAGGTTCCGGGTTTTTGGGTTAAAAAATGGGTGGGGGTTTTTTTTAAACAAAAAGTTATAGTTTATATTTCTCCATTTAATAATATCAAGCGTAATATATGTATAATAGAAGTACATGTATAGTTCGATTTGATTAAACGGAGAGAGATAGCATCTGAAAGAGGCATTTCTGTAAAATGGTTATAAACAGTATCCCTAAAGAAAGCCCAACACGGCAAAATTGTAAAGCCTTCAACACATTAGTATTGAAGATGGAGCACCGATTATTCAGTTCGTGGGGGGGGGGAGCTTGAGAGATGTTGCACTTAAACATGATTTCGATGTTGCACTTTAACATGATCTCTCTTGAAAAATAAAAATGGACCTGCAATTTTCATATAATACTGTTATTACCATTGATTTGGAGGGGCTAAACCGTTATTTAGATTTTCTTTTTACGTACCTCACTTCAGTGCTGTTATATTTTTCTTGTTCTTCCAGCACATTAGTGTTTAAGATGGATACCACTGAAACCGGTGCTAGGGGGCGACATATGATGCGCTTTAACAATATCTCTTATGGACAGACTCATTTAAACCGAATTTTTTAAACCGAGTCTGCAATTTTGATACTTTTGATGTCCTTGCTTCCGAGAGTTAACCCCATTTTCAGATTTCTATAAAATATTGGTCATACACTGTGTCTAAATTAAATTACTTCAAACCTTTTCACTCATATGTAAATACAGAACTTATTCTTTGTAATCCTTTTTTAGAATCTCATTTCAAAAAACATTATTTTTATTCTGTATTAGAATTGCCTGGGCAAATTCTATATGATTGTTATTGTATCATTCTACATGAATGATCTGAAAACACAGAAATGTGTACTGATACTTTTGCCAAGTTATACCAACAAATAATCTAGCCAAATATCTTGTTTATGAATTCACTTGAATTCATTTCAAACATGTCGATTTTTTGCGTGTTTTTATCAGATAAGTTGGCAAGCAACATCTTATTTTGGAACTGTTTGACTAATATAAATCACATTAAAATTTTTATGAAATTATAATGTGTGTTGAATTGAATAGCAATGTTAAGTGATATATATCCTCCAGATTATTTTCGAAGACCTTTTTAATAAGCATCAAACGCTGGGCAACAGAATAAAGCAGCGTAATCAAGTAGCGTTTTAGATTTTTAAAAAATGTATACTTAACTTGTATTGAAAAAATGGAATAAGTTATGCTTTCAAAACAAATCATATGATACAAATTAACACTCAGAGCAAACTATGGTCCACACCGAATACCGGCTCAAACAGAATTTAACATTCAAACATGAATATGGTGAAAATTGAAATTAGTGAAATTAGAAAGCATCTCCAGATGTATTTTACGGTTGTTTTAATGGAATCTTCAATGTGACACTTACGTGACATTCCATGAAAGGCGGCGTATGGTCCCCGCGTAAAAGAAAACGTGTGTCCAAAACGAGAAAACAATGGGTGGAATAACCATAAGTGAGGCAATGCAATACTGTAATTCATTGCTGTAGATGTTTTGTAACAAAGTAGATTTATTTAAGTAACTCATTTATTTTCTTTTATTGATCACAAGGAGTATTTCATTAAATTTAAAACTAATATATCACCATATATCACATTCAAGTTATGAAAATAGTACTGGGATGAGTAAAATATCTATGTCTGTGAGTTTCGTGTGGCACAAAACAGACGCACAAATAGATCATCACACAGATAAACAACGATTCAAGTGTTCTAAGTGTTGAATTCCAAACAAGTTAAGACATAGATCATGTACATAATTATAATAATTGTTATTACATTGTTGTGTCATGCAATATAATATACTTTATTTCTGAACAATGTAAATTACTACAGGCCATACAAAATGCCAGAGAAGAACAATGTTCTATAAACATTATAGAATGTAAAATGTAAACAAATGTATCCAATCCTTAACATATTACCTTCTATAGTTTGATTGCAGGAGGTTGTGAGTATTAAACAAAACCTGATATCAACATATTCATTAACATAAATTTGACATACTTGAGAGGGTTATTTTTTTTAAACTTTATGTGATAAACATCTATAATAACTAGCCAGCGTTGTAGATGCTACTGCTCTGAATTTAATTTCTAGCTCAGTGTCCAGGGACATATTTACTGTATGATTTGGGATTGAGAAAGTATGTAGAAATGAATCAATTTTGCCAATTAAGGGACTCAAATATCAATTAGTTTGTAATTAAGTTACTTTTAGAGAATTAATGGCGAAAGTTTGCTTACTTTTTTCATTTAAACTTAACTGAAAGAATACTAGAGTCAATGAAACATTATGCAAATACACAAACTATTGATTGAGAACAACACTTGGGCTCTATCTTTAGATAACTTGAATGCGGTACTATATGATGATGCATTAGTTTAACATTTAATGAACTATTCTAAATGATCAATGAAATATAAAAAAAATATGTACATCTCGTTCATTGTCACAGAATATCTACATCACTGAATTATTTAAATGTGTTGCCTCTTACCTTTCAAAACGTATGGTTTACTATGTATCATATCATACTATCCGATGCAACATTTTGTTGTGTTTCTGTCATATTTGCTGATTCGGATGATTTTATGTTTCTCCAACTATCACGCCGTAAATAAATCATCTCCTGAACACATCATCATATCGATCATTCATTCGACATTTTTTCAAAATGTTCAAGCATTGAAGATATAAGAAAGTATTAACACAATATCACAAATATTTTGCACGTTTCTGTGTTCAAAATTAACGTGTAGTTTATAAGGGAGTGAAGCTTATATCCAATGGCTAACGTAAATACAAAATTGCCACAGAATAAAATGTGGATGGAATTATGTATTATGAAAAATATTACTTATAACTTCAGAATATATATCTAAGTAACTAATTTCAACTGATTTTTATCAAACATCTTATTTAATAGGTTATATTTTGTTCAAAGTTGTAATTAATGTTTCTCATAAGTGTTTTTTTTTATTTAGAAACAGTATTGATGGTTATTTTCAGTGTTAATCAGTATCATATCTTGCGAGATAAGTTTTGTTTTGACAGCATAACTTATTCCATGCATTAAATACAAGTAAGTGTACCTTTTAAAAACCTAAAATGCAGCTTATTTTAATTATGTGGTGTATCGAAGACATTCTATGAAATATTTAAAACATTGCTTTATTAAAAACACACAATTACCCGTATGGCGTTCTGTAATTAGCATTCCTTATTTACATCACAATGTATGACTTTGTTTTAAAA